TCTCTCTCTCTCTGGTTCGAGCTTTGTTTCCCTGCTCACTCTGCTGCCTGTGGGTACTCACTCGGTTGGTATACATTTTCAAATGCTGATTTTTTGTGAAGTTCAATTGGGCTATAGTTGCTAGGGGAGGTATCCATTCTCAAATGCTAAAATGGTAATGGATCTGATGAAGTCTTCCATAGGGTTCGCCGGTTGCCGTTTTTTGTCGTTTGAAGAGCTGAAGATGTTACGATCAATCGCCTCGCCGCTGAGTCTTCGACGGAGAGTTTAGGTGTATTAGGGAGGTGTGCAGCTGCACACAGTGCTTTTAGTTCTGTGGACTGGTACTCGCGGGAAGAACAAGGAAACATTTTTTCCCGCGAGTTACGATCAAAGCACTGTGGAGGTTGGGAGGTAGGGGAGGCAAGGGTGGGGGTGGTGGTGGCGGTGCCATGATGTGATGGGTTCAGGGTAAGGGCCGGGGATGTCGAGGTGAGGTGAGGGAGGAGTGGAAAAGTCACCTGCGCTGCGGGGTTAGGAGGTCGTGTGGGCAGGGCAGGAAGATAAGGTGCAAAGAACAGGGAGGGTTGGGGGCAGAGATTGGAAGCGACTACCGTCTTCACCCGAATAGAACGCCCGGTCATTATAGCTGCATTTGGCCCAACTTTCCGTCCACATGCGGTGATAATGATCGGGCGTTCTATTCGGGTGAAGACGGTAGCGGGGGAATAGGGGGATACAGTGAGGGCCAGGGAGAAATTGAAGTGGGGATGGGGACCACTGAGAGTGAGGGCATAAAGCGGAAAGAAGCAGGAGTGGGGGTGGCGAGGTGGGGTGTCGTGACCCGGCCGGATTGGGGAGCAGTAAGGTACACAGAGGGGATGACCATCAGTGCAGGGCGGATGGGTGCATGGCCCACAGGGGGCTCACTGAGGCAGTGCATGGTCCAGTGGGGACTCGTTGAGGCATTTCCCCCTTTCAGGGGTCATTTTTCCCTTTTAGGGGTGAACGCTGGAAAACATTGGTGTATGTTTTTTGTTTTTGTTTGTTTGTTTGTTTGTTTGTTTGTTTGTTTGTTTGTTTGGTTAAAAGTTAAAAGAAAAGAGTGGCGGGCTTTAGAAATCATCATTGAAATGGACGCGGGTAATTTATAACTACTTTATTCTGTTCATCTGCGTGTATCTGGATTCGAATTTGTGCCTGTATTTCAACAGTTTGAGGGTGTTTTATGGGTTGTTATGATCATGTTTTTTTTTTTTTTTTTGTTTTTTTTTTTTTTTTTTTTGAATGACATTTTCGGGCCATTTTCACTAACTCCGTGTGCTTGTGTATGCCTTCTGTATTGTTCGTCATTCTGTGTGTTTGTTCAATAGCAGGCAGATAACCTTCGCCAGCAGACACTGCAGCAAATGCATCGTATTTTAACGACACGCCAGTCAGCGAAGGGCTTACTTGCGATGGGCGATTATTTTGCACGTTTGCGTGCGTTGTCGTCACTTTGGGGTGCTCGGCCACGAGAATAGATTTGTTTGCCTGTTATCAAGATAAAAAGGCATTTGGTTGTTAATTTCGCTTTGTTTTAGTTGTCATTGTAGGCCCTTGTTGCGGTGTTTTCTACACTCCTCAGCGATGCCGTCTCCCTATTCTTCTCCCTTGTCAAACCTTGGTTTGTGTGGCCTCTTCAGGGGATCGCGTGCGGTTGATGGGTGTGTGGCGGTTCATCGTAGTAGAGAGAGGAGGAGGAGGAGGAGGACAAATGCTTTGCTGGTGTAGAGCCGATTCGTGAATAGATAGGAGGGGGGGTAGTAGCGTCTTGACTGTTTATCGTTCTCTTAGAAGGGTTGTCTCAATGGCGTTGGTGGGGGGAGAGGGTATAGGGTAGTGGGGGAAGAAGAAACGCCAAGAAGGCGGATGGCATGGCTCTGGGAAACAGAAGGGGGGGGCCATCGTCAGCAGATGATTGCGTAACCCGGCTTTCCTCTGCCTGTGGGGAGGAGGGGGTAGTGACATACATTGAGATTGGCGAATGTTTCTAATAGAAGGCGTTGGCACAAGGATTCGGTGGAGGGATTCGGTGAAAGGAGACTTGGGCCGATGGGATGACATTGGGGGAAGGAAAGGCGGGACCACCAGAAGACAATTGCTTCAGCCAGCTTCCCTCTGTCTGACTGTGGATAAGCTCTTTTGAAATTTTTCATTTCAGATTTTTGTGACTTGTAGGTGGAGGCGCTGCTCAAGAAGAGAGTTCAAAATAAAATTCACGGTGGAGATTTCATCTTCAGGGAAGCGCGTTCGTACTGTCGTTTTATAGAAGAATAAAAGGGGCCTTGCTGAAACATATGCGTTTGCGAGCTCCGTTCCTGTAGAGGGTCTTCCAGACTGCAACTTGATGCTCATGCATGTCAACGAACATGTACATGCGGTGGAGAGTGGGAGAGAGTGATGGGCGTGATCAGCAGGGAAACCATCCACACATGGTGGAGAAAGCTGCTCAGGAGGGTCACATCGGTGAGGTGATTAAAGAGCGCTTGTGAACACCAGAGAAGAGGGCTTGTGAGGTGATTAAAGAGCGCTTGTGAGAATACAGTTGCAAGCACATGTGTGTGTGCGTGTGCGTGTGTCTGAGGAGGAGGAGGAGGAGGAGGAGGAGGAGGAGGAGGAGGGG